ACTCCGGACAACTATCCAGGAACAATAGGATAACCGGGTGACAGATTTGTACTCTATTATCTATGAATCCGCCCATCACTACCAAACACACCCCCAATAGATAAATTACGTGGGCGTAGTTGACTACAATCTGCTAAAAAATATTATCTGTACAAATATGAAAACAATTTTAGGACAACGTTTTTATTAGTAAAAATTACTGTTCTCCTGTTACAAAATGGGTTTATTTTTTGTCAATGGTTGATGCTATTGTTTGAAGAGTACTTGTCACAGGAGCATCTGATCGAGTAAATATTTTTTCTCCTTCAGGATCAAGATATAAACGAACCATCTACAAATACCAGACATAAGTAATGATTATTGTATTTTTGGCATATTTTAAAAATACAATCACACTTTTGATACTGCTTACCTTTGGAATGAATATTAGTCCAAGAAACAATGTTGCCTCAGTAAGTAATCCTAATCCAAACAATGCAGCATAAGCATTATGATGTGTGGCAAGAGTAAATTCAGATGCTGCCAATAGTACTAATACAATACTATTGATGTAAATGATTGCAGCTATTTCTTTTGATTCATTAAGGATTTTGACTTTGACTCGGCGGGTATGGAATGCCATGAAAATTGCTGAGACTTGAAGCAGTCCCTTGTAACCAAATGAAAGTGCTAGCCAAATAACTGTTGCAGACTGGTTACATATGAGAATATAGTGATCCTGTAGCTTACCCTCATCCTATGCATGTGGATAAAAAATAAAATGTGTCAGTGTAAAAATACATTTATATTTTGTGGATGTATGGTATCTTCTTCTTCTGAACTCTTCAGTCTTGACATTGGAATGATGAAACCAACCAGAATAATAGCAAGATCAATTGCCACAACAATTAATATGATCACTAAAAGCACCCAATCTTTAACTCCCTATTACACAAGATAATTACCAAATGCTTTAAATCATTACCTTTTTATTAGGTTTTGGATTGTTAAAGATATAATAAACACGCCATGTTTTTGATAGTATTACACCAAAACAGAGATTATATCCCAAAGAAAACAACCAAATACGAATCTAAATAATTAGAATGAAATTTTAACTAAATGTATATAGTTTTTATGAAGCTTACATTACAAAATGTAGTTTGCAAATACTTAGTGGTAGCAGAATATGAGTAAAAGAAAACACAAGCATACAACAAAAACGATCCAAGTACAATGATATTGTTCAAGTCAGGGCTAGTCAGTTTCACTATTC